AAAAAAAAAAAAAAAAAAAAAAAAAAAAAAAAAAAAAAAAAAAAAAAAAAAAAAAAAAAAAAGGCTAAATTATCACTAAAAAGAACCCTAACCTTTTAATACTTTCAAAATTATATTATAATTTAACACTTCATAACATGTGTAATGCAAGTGTCGAACCCTAGCGCCGATTACTTACCATAGTCACGGTTTAAAACAGAGACGTTTCCACACCCTATGAATAATGTTTCTGTACAGACAGGTTTCTACATATTTATAACACATGCTGAGACACCATTTAAATGAATACAAAGAATAGAAGAGAGAAAATGCACGAAGAAATATTGGCTAAAACATTTTAAAAAAAAAAATAGGAAAGAGAAATATTGGATCCCGAGAAAATACAAATAGAAATATTTGAGAAAGGTTCATCTTCTAATACGAAGAAATTACATGTTTTTACTAATAAGATATATATAATTCAGTTTATTATATATAGTTTTAATATAATCATCTATGATATATAACTATCTGCCATACATATTATAGGTAGTAGTCTCCATAACCCAACATTTGTTCCCTTCTCCAACAATGTGAAAGCTGGCACAGAGCTCGACATTCGGCTTTGATACCATTTGTAACAGTCCAAGCCCACCGCTAGCAAAATTATCCGTTTTACTCGTGTCGTCAACCTCTAGTTTTAAAATGTCTTTACTATAAAAAAAAAAGTTTTATTTCTCTTTCTGACTGATGGAATGAGTGGGGTGGGATGCGTCCCCATTTAGTTAACACCAAATAATATTTTTCCGTTTTCTTCCCATTCTTAGTTGAAACGGAAATTTCACACTCAAATCGAAATAGATTACAATGGACCCGGTCTATACGCGTCAAATTATGCTCAACATATTAGATGACATCTCTAGTAATAAGCAGCATAGCATCATATGCACATAAATATACCATTGGTATACATATAATTAAGGATGCCTTATTGAAACTCAAAGCTTCGGCAATGGCTGTCCATTAGCATCCAACAACAACCCAGATCCTAATGGTGGCGCGGGTCAGGTCCTCCGGGGCTGAGCCGGGTGGGCTTGTAAGCAAAGTTCTTAGCGTCGCCCGTCGAGCTATTTTGGTCGCAATTCGGGTCATTTCTGGGCTTCGGAAGAAACTATGAACTTTGTTGCTTCTCTTTATGGCTCTGAAGATTTCTTCGTCTTCTTCCCAATTCCTCGGAGCTATCAGATTACGAGCTTGGAGGGTTGAAGAAGATGAAACAAGTACGAGGATAATCACGACATAGAACCAAAGATTAGCCATGTGTTTTCTGTTGTCTGCAAATTTTGGTCTGGAAATGGTGAAAGTTTTGGGCTTTGTCTTATGGGTTTGGATTAGTTGTGTGTGTATATATATATACTTAAAAGCAACCAGCTTTTTGTAAGACCCCAGTTAGAAAGAGAAACGAAACATTGTTTACACCGCTATTGAAACCTCTGTCTAGCAAATACGTTTTAAAAACTTTGAAGGTAAGCCCGAAGGAGAAAACCCAAAAAGAACAATATCTGTTAGGGGTAAGTTTAGGTTGTTACAAATAATATCAAAGCCGGACACTGAGATGTGTGCCCGAGGATATGGGCACTGAAACGTGGACAATATTTACTAGTGGTGGGCTTGAGTTGCTACACTTTTAATAGACAAAGAATGATTAT